CTATTAACAATTTGAGTGTTATAACATATATCCGACTTTGAACCCGGTTAAAATAAATTTTATTTTAATATAATATGATATTGGTTTAATTTTTTCAATGTGAAACATTACTGCATGTTAATATTAGAATACTTTCACTTATTAGCAAAATCGTATATACATCAAAATCCATTATAAAAATCTCTACCTCAACATACAACCATGCGGCCAAGCTTATCTATAGAAAATGTATGTAAAACACAAATGAAGAAATTGTTTTATCGTTCGTTGCTGCCGCGGTTCTACGTAGTTAAGGTGAAAAATTGTCATTTCGGGGAGAATTAATAATTTTTTCATTTTTAGTGGTGAAAATGTTATTTATTAAAGCATAAACTTTTTCGAAATATTAAAAGCAATAAGAGAAATGTGAGTTTAAATAGTTATTAATCAATTTTCTGAATTGCTATCAAAAAGAAAAATGGTGAATTATAAGTGCAAGCGGAAAATTGGAGAACCATAATGTTGCGTATTGTGCACACAAAATGTAGAAAGGCTGTAGTGTGAGTGAAAGAGAAATACAATTTTAATTTCTCTTATCCACAATAGAAAATAAAAGTAAAAACAATAAACGGAGTAATATATTTTGTAAACAGTGAATAAAAACACAGGTGAGCGCGTTTTTAACAACAACAATTCCTATAAGAATTGCAACTGTAAATATAATGCCACAAATTCATGTTTATTTTATTTTCAAATTACTGTTTATTGTGTAATTACAAACTGAAGCATAGTTTTATTCTTACAGGTTTCATTTTATTTGTTAAATTAACTATAAAAATGGATATTCAAAATAAATCTGCTATAACGGATTCTGCTGAATTGCAACTAAAGAAAGTTGAAGAAGTTAATTCAAAAGCAGACAAAATAAATGATGAGCAAAACGATCATATACCTCTCAATACCACTGAAATAAAATCTTCTAATACGCGGAAAATGTCTCCAATAAAAGATCATATTTCAGCCGATAAAACATTAAAAAAAGATACAAGTAAGGAAATTAAAACCATTGAAAATGACACCGAAGTTCTGAAAGGTGAAAATAAAATTAAAAATAAAAGCGCTGAGAATGCAAAAGATCTTCTGCCAGTGACAAAGAAAAGTCCTTCCCCGACAACGCAATCTCAAACGCCACCTCAAGCAGAGGCCGCAAATTCAATTCCAGACAATATTCTGTCCCCTCCAAAGTCCGAAACACAAACTGATGAAACTAATACTGCGACGTCATCATCTCCCGCTTCTGATTCTCAATTATCACCCGAAGTTGTGCCTGAAATCAAACCTAAAACCAACAGTTCTCAAGCTTCACCTCGTAACACTGACAACTCAGAAGCACCAATTTCTACAAAAAATCTGGGTCGTGTCGTTCAACCGATAAACATTGTTGCTAATGGCACTATACCAAAATCTGGTAAACCTTTAATGGCGTCCATCAATAAAAAAATCAACAAATCATCACGCTCAACGCGTCCAAGAAAGCAAAAAGTACCAATATATGAAAGTGAGGTAAATAGTTAAAGATAATTCATATCTTATTTGTTTAAATCTAACGACGTTTTTATCATTTGTAGATAAGCGATAATAAAGTTGGCATCAAGCTATGTATTAAAAAGTCTGATGCAACAGTAACTGCAACTGCACCAACTCCACCCACATCTTCAAAACAAATTCGTAAACGTTCCCGTAAATCAAAATCTCGTCATCGTGTCGATAGCGATGACAGTGAATATGAAACGAAACGCAAAAAAGATCGCAATCCCAATAACAACAATGAACGTCAAAAAAAGGTTTCATTCAGTGGAGTCAAAGCAGAAGAAGCAAGTGAACCAATTGAGCAAAGCATATGGGGATCAAAGATTCCAGAAGATGTACTCTATCAAGTAAGTAAATAATTATTGAAATATTTTTTTTATATATATTAATGTGTTTAATATTTCTTTTAAGATTTTTGAAAAGGCAGTTGAAAAAGAAGGATCTTTGCCAACATTATGCCGTTTGGGAAGAGTATGCGCTTTATGGCGGCGAGTATCAGTGCGACCCACATTATGGAAAGTATTAGACCTTACAACTTGGTTTAAAGAAAAATCTAGAACTGAACTTAGGTTGAAGTGGGTTGTGGATAATCGCTGCAGCTCTTGCACAGATTTAAATATCTGTAAGTTAATTATATTACAAATTATTATGAAACACATATGAATACAATATTTGTTTTTTTTTTTTTAGCAAATTGGAAGGTCACTGACATTAACTGCTTTCTTCACAAATTAGCTGCTGGATGTACAAACTTAACGGGTATTACATTAGCGGGCTGGAAAGGTTTCACATGCGATCATTTGGCGTTTTTAGTTAACAATATGAAGAAATTAGAACGGATTGATTTAAGCTCAGTTAATGTAACTATTTTTGATTCTCTTTTCCAACTAAAGCTTATATTACTAATGCACTTATTTTGATAATTAGGTTGAAATGAATGCAAGTAAAAGCGCTGTTGGCCTGCAATCCCTTTGTACTGCATTGCAGACAATGAATAAACGGCTTACGCATTTGTATTTGGCACATAATCGTCTGGCAGGAATACCACAAATTGTTAACATTTTATCGGTATAATAAAAATAGTATTTAAAAGTAGAAAATATTAAATTTATTTTTTAATAAAGGACCATTGTGCGAATCTGGTGCTCCTGGATCTCTCTAACGTAACCACTCAAGCCACATCACATGGGATACTACGTATAGAAAAATTACA